TGTCTATTGAAATGAGGGTGAGATGACGTCTGCTCTGGTAGACTGTTGGCTTATGTCAGGCTTTTGTCCGAATAATAGCTTGTAGAAATTATAGAAAAGCTGGAGGTGCTTCATAACAAGAGAAGCTGTAACAGGCACAGTGTTCTGATTGTTTGCAGCAATGGAATGAATGTTTTTATGACATCCTGCATGGAGCCCTGTCCACGGAGTAAGTTACAAAATGGTCCATATGGTGTCCCTCTGGCTTACAGAACAGCTAACATGATGGCTGAGGATAACTGCATTGTACTGTATGTCCTACAAGAAAATAAATGAGCTAACATTCTACAGCAGTAAATGTAACGCTTGTTGTAACACTCAGTGCTCAGTGTAAAAAGTTTGAACGTTATAGCAGCTTTTGTGTGCACAATTATAGATGAAAGGTTTTGTGATATACGTAATGTCCTTCTCACTTTTAATGGTGCATCAGCAGCATCAGCAAAGCTTTTGTCCCAGACTGCAACATTTTTGTATTTTATGTTAAATCAGTTCATTTTACAAAGGTTTTTGTTACTTTTCAATTCAATTATATTTTATTTGTAAAGCGCCAAATCCCAACAACAGTCATCTCAGCACACTTTACAAAGTAAGACCTTACTATTATCACTATTATTATAGAGGAAAAATCAACAAATCCCTCCTGAGCAGCACTTGGTGACAGCAAGGAGGAAAAACTTCCTTTAACGGAAGAAACCTCTGACAGACCCCGGCTCTTGGTGGGCGGCCTTCTGCCTCAACCGGTTGGGGTGAGTGGATAAAGGAGAGAGGAAAGAAAAGAGAAGCAACAAAACACAACAAACACAACATTCAAACACTGGTCAGGTTGATGTGGCCGGTGACTGCTCATCAGAAACATAGAGCTCCAGGGCCAGGGCAACCTGGAGAAAGGTACAGGGAGAGAGAGAGAGGAGACACTACGGGAGAGAGGAGACACAAAGTTAGTGCCACGTAATGGTGGTGGCGTATAGAAGCATAGGGAGAGAGAGGAGAGGGGGGGCTCAGAGCATCCAGGGGCCCCCC